ACATTGTTCGCGGAAGTTTTCAAAGACATCGGCAAGTAACAATACATCTGTTTTCATGTACAAGTGGACATAGTCGTAGAGATTTTGACAATCAAATTCGGACCAAACTTTCTGCGCATGCTCATAATCTTCATCAGAAATACCGGCATCATAAAGAGTACTGTAAAATTTCTCTTTCGGGGGCAATTCTGTCTCATCAAGCTTACTTTTTGAGTCAAAGTACTCATAGGGGAAAACACCCTTTCGCGTTAATAACTTAATTTTATCCGGATCAGTCACCGTACTGGCAAAAACGGCGTTTACAATTTTATACTCATCCAAGTAGGATGCGAGTTTTTCTAGGGATGCTGCCATGAATCTGAAAGAGTCAATGAATCGAAACTTGACCTCACTCCCCTTAACATGTTTTGTGAAGGCGATATACTTCTCCTTGTTAATGGGTAGGAGGTCAATTTTCCCATCAAAGCTCGTAGAAATTGCGTGAATTATAAAATGGGCGTCATAGCCACTTAGGTTATGGAAAACTACAGGGATCGTTTGACAATCTTGATAATTCAGATTGCATGATTCATGGGCAGCACCCCTATACTTGCCAGTAAGATGACAATGATCTCGGACTTTTTTATCGCTTGCCGCTATTTTCTGATGACAAATATGGCATATTGTCGCTCGCTTAAAATCGCTGATTTCTTGAGGAGTTAATGCAGTCATTGGTAATGGATTTTTAAAGACATTATCAATTTTTTCAGATAATTGCCTTAATTCCTCAGAAAACCATTTGGCAGGGTCGGATTCATGCTTCGGACAAGGTACATATTTACATAATGATTCGTCGTAACTACATTTTATAAAATAGCCTATGCTTAACAATTTATGTCGCTGGAACACTTCAGTCTTACTTAAATTATCTACATCTTCATCGGCGGGAAGAAGTAGACTTTCACAGTCGGCGTAAATTACATATGGTACCTTTTCTTTATTTTTATAATTTTTAAATGTGATTAAACTCTTATCAGGCTTTGGTAATTTAATTTTACACTCATTCATTTTTTTACAATTTTCGAGATGTTCATTCAGTCTATCTACGGAAGAAAAATAATGTAAGCATCTGTCACATATATGTTTTTTACCATTTTTAGCAGACAATTGTTTCGATACAAGGCGTGATAAGTCTTTTATCCATACATAATGGAAATTCAAAAAATCACCGCCATCACATATTACATTCTCTTCAACACTCTCATCCGCATACGTATCCGCAACGTACAAGAGATTTACATGTTTATCCCTTTTTTCCGCAGTGAGGTGAAGAGGATGCACTGAAAAGTTACCATAACTTTTTAATAAACCGTAAACATTAATCGAAATATTATTCTGCTTTTCAAATTTTGGGACATTTTTTAACGTTACTGGGAATTCCATTCCCTCAAAATTTAACTCATCTTCAAAACTTTTCAAACTGGAAACTCGTTCAGGATGTGATACATTTGGATGCAAAGCTGACAATACTACCCATTTAAAACATTGTTTGTCTTTGTTTTCAACATTAATGCATGCATTCTTGTTTTTAATTTGCGCAGGTAAACGAATATAAGAGCTTGCACGCATCGGATTATACTTATTAACATTGATTTCGAGCCTTATAATCGACTGCAGGCTCCAATTTGAACCCTTTTCATAAAACTCTTCGACACTGCGCAGTATTGGTTGCTTTATGTTCTCATCGAACCAATCATCTAAAACCGAGGTGGGGAAGATGCTGTTAGCCTTGCATCCGAAAGGGATAGGCTTAACAACCTCCTCACCATTCTCAACCCTCTTAAAGTTGGCGATGAGAACACCATACACTAAAATGGGTCCATTCTTATTTAAGGCACCTTTTATGTGATCTTGAAAAAGCGTGGACGCATCGTCCAAAAACGCGCTAACATCAATGTGGACTAGGTTTAGGACTGCATTGGTGTACAGTCTACACGCAAATGCACTCTCACACTCTTCCCAGCGAACGCGTTTATTAATGTCTGGATCACCGATTCCAGCGCCATCTACAATGTGAGATTCGAACAACGCGCGAAATCTAATGATGGATTGCAGAATGCTCACACATCTCTGCTTTTGATGTGTAAAATACATCGATTTTAGGATGCTAGACAACAAGTTTTCATGTTGTGAGCATTCTACAATCCATCGATCTACAAAAGAACGTCTTACGTTTACGTTATCGATCAGTGGAATCAGTTCTAGTGCTTCCTTGATGAGAGTAACAGTTAAGTCACTCTCATCAAGGATGGTCGTGTAGTTTGGGAACTTACGTGGTCCATCGGTGGTTGTGGCCTTCCGCTTCATGTCTGAACCTGAAATCACACTTACAAGCTAAGAAAACAAAAGAATACACTTACAAGCTAAAAAATCCAAAAGAATACACTTACAAGCTAAAAAAACCCAAAAGAACACACTTACAAACTAACAAAACGAAAGAACACACTTACAAACTAAAGTATTTAACCTAAAGATCAAAACAATGTAAATGTAATAAATACGGTAAATATAACAAAAAAAAGACAGTAAATATATTCAAAATGTGAAAAGACAGTTAGTAATAGCCAAGGAGACTGCTGCTGCTACTGCTGAACCTGTGAACAGAACAGCCACTGACTGAAACTGATAAGAGATTCTCAATATATACCCCAGAATCCCCACTCTTACCTTTCGCGCATGCGCACTAGAACTTTTACCCCCACTCCTACTTTTTACACATCCCCACTCTTACATTTACACCCACCCATTTCGCATGCGTAAAATAAATATATACCGATATACAAAATACAAACGTTTATTAAAAAATTAAAAATTAATAAAGACATTAATATTAATGGCGGCTTGACGGTGACGACGCCTTTGTCGCCGCCTCCTCTCTGGGCCGGGAGGTGGTGTCGGTGGCCTCGGTGGTGGGGGTGTCGGCGCCCTGACCTCTACCCCTGGAGGTGTCAGCACCTTGACCTCTACCCCTGGAGGTGTCGGCGCCCTAGCCTCTACCCCTGGAGGTGTCGGCGCCCTAGCCTCTACCGCTGGAGGTGTCAGCACCCTGGCCTCCATTCTTCTTGGAGACTCTGGAGATGATGGTGACTCCAGCTCCACCCAGGGTGGTGATGTATCCGGAAACTGACACGGATACTGCTCCCTGGGTGGAGATCCCGGGGGTGTTGTCGGGAATGGCACCTCGTTCCCTTCATTCTGCAACTGAAAAAAATATTAAACATTATATTACATTTTACTATATTATATATATATATCATTGATACTTACATTGTGTATTGACACCTTCTTAACGAAGCAGTTGTAGCAGTTGCAGAAATTCTCCATGTCGACCACTCTGAGTCGCTCCGTCACTGCGAATGAGCTACTGCCGCTGAGCTCATAGACATAAAGTGTCATACTCCCACCACGCGCTCGCCCCACCACGCGCTCTCATCACCTTGTGTGAGCGGCAGCTGAGTGAAGCTCCTACGGTTCAAATGTGCAGTCGGTAACGCGCGAAATTTAATTTGAAAGAAGAATTTCTTATTGTTTTACTATCATAATTAAAGATAACAATGGAATAAATAAATGGAAAAAGTAAAAAAAGAAGATTAATTCCACTTACCTCAATAAATCAATAATCAAATACTAATCTTATTATGCAAAAATAAATTTAAGAATAAATCAAACATTATAAATAACTTAAAAATTAATTTAAATGTTTATGTTATATTGAAATACTACATTTCCATTCTCTTAATTAATTCAATAAACACTATAAAGATATCATTAATTTATAATAATGCTTATTTTATTTCTTCATTTTTTTTTATTTACATATGTGAATGATTATAAAATTATGTAATACTTTTTTCATGTAACATATAAAAGTAAAAAATAATATAAAACGTTTATAAAAACATAACAAAAAATTTTTTTTATAGGAAAAAAACATTTAAAAAACCTATTATGTTCTGAGAGCAATTTATAAATACTTTAAAACTAATAAAAACAAAAACAATTTTTTTTATTTAGGAAAAAACATTTGAAAAACCTATTGAAATTATAAATAATTTAATTCTTTAAAGAATTAAAAGCTAAAGAGATTTTGTATAGAAAAACACTTTAAAAGAAATAAAAACAAAAAAATACTTTTTTTTATTTGGGAAAAAAACCATTGAAAAACCTATTAAAATAATAAATAATTTAATTCTTAAAAAGAAAATGAAAAGCTAATATAGAAGAAAAACATAAAAATTAAAAAAATATAGAAAAAATAACACTTTAAAAGAAATAAAAACAAAAAACTTTTTTTTATCAAGGAAAAAAACAATTGGAAAACCTATTATGTTCTGAGAGCAATTTATAAATACTTTAAAACTAATAAAAACAAAAACAATTTTTTTTATTTAGGAAAAAACATTTGAAAAACCTATTGAAATTATAAATAATTTAATTTTTTAAAGAATTAAAAGCTAAAGAGATTTTGTATAGAAAAACACTTTAAAAGAAATAAAAACAAAAAAAATACTTTTTTTTATTTGGGAAAAAAACCATTGAAAAACCTATTAAAATAATAAATAATTTAATTCTTAAAAAGAAAATGAAAAGCTAATATAGAAGAAAAACATAAAAATTAAAAAAATATAGAAAAAATAACACTTTAAAAGAAATAAAAACAAAAAACTTTTTTTTATCAAGGAAAAAAACAATTGAAAAACCTATTCAAATCATAAATAATTTTAAAAAAATGGAAAACTAAAAAATAAACATTTTTTTATAGAAAAAAAAACATAATTGAAAAAACCGATTAAATTGCTCTTTAAATTTGAATTAGAATTAGTATAAATATTCAATATTTTAGAAGAAACAAAACTAAAAACTATTAAATGTAAACTGAAAAAATTATTAAAAAAAAATAAAGAATCAGAATGTAATAAAAAATGGAAGGAAAAAAATGTCATGCAATATAAATTAAAAAACTAGTGTTTCTTCCTTGAGGATGCTGTTGCCATCTTTTTCATTGCTTTTGAAAGCCTTTGTCGAGATGTTCCACGAAGATTGCGTGGAGGAATCACAATAGCACGTCTTGGCGCTGGAATCGGTGCTGATGCTTGCTGTACAGCTTCTCTTTGTACCAGCACAGGTAGCTGAGCTGATGCTCGTGGTGCTGGAATTGGCGCTGGTGCTCTTGGTACATGAGCAATTCGCTGAATTGCTCGTGGTGCTGGAATCGGAGCTGGTGCTCTTGGTACATGAGCAATTCGCTGAATTGCTCGTGGTGCTGGAATCGGAGCTGGTGCTCTTGGTGCCGGCATATGTTCCACAGCGCGTTGCCTAAGCACTTCTTGACCTTGATCAAGAGGTATCTGAGTCGGTGTTGGTGGAATTGCCAATCGAGGGCGAGTCATAATTCGGATCCATGGTTGTGGATTTTCATTTTCATCAGATTGTAGATCTAGTAAATTGTTTGGTCGCTCATCCCACCGATTTCTTCTCGGACCAAACAATTCCGGTTCTTCTGGATTATACGGAATATTTTCCATGGCATCAAGTTGTGCGTTCAAATTGTTCTAAAAACAAGTATTTAAAATAATGAAACACTAGTTAGAAAATTTATAAAACTAAATCATTTATTTGCTAAGGTTATATCATGATAATAATGTAAAAAGTAATTTAAAAGAGAGTATTGAAAGACTAAATTGATTGTTGTAAAAATTTTTCTTTGACAGGTTAGGTTATAAATATTATAGAAAAATAGTGAATACTAAACGTGCAAATTGATTAAGACTATTCATATTTTTTGAAAAGTTATAAAGTATAAAAAGAAAAATAATAGATAAAATTGATTAGACTAAAAGAACTGTGAAAGAAAGTTAAATTATTGATTGAGAAAATTGATTAGACTAAACATATTTTTGACGGGTTAGGTTTTAATATTGTAGAAAAATAGTCAATACTAAACATATTTTTTTGACAGGTTATAAAAAGAAAACTAATAGATAAAATTGATCTCAGTAAGAAAATCTCTTTGACACGTTAGGATATAAATATTTTAGAAAAATAGTGAATACTAAATGATTAAATTGATAAAGATTAAAATTTATTTAACACTTACAACTCTTGGCAGCATGCGCTGAAATCTGCAATTTTGTACATTACAATTGCATCGCACTTGAATTTGGTTAGGGTCCTATTTAGAAAGGAGTATAAAAAATTAATGTTGAATTGTACAATTAGTACTGAAAATATTTATTACTTTTACTTACCATTATTATAACGAAAAAACTTATAAGCAGACTTGTAACTTTAAACTCCAGTCCGTTTATTTCAGAGGTCAGGTTAGTTATAAACATGGCGGCTGCACACTTCACGAGCAACACAATCAGACACATTTAAATAATTTTCACAGTTTTTTATTATTCGATCAGTGATTTTTTTTATCAGTGATAAAATTTTCAAGATTTGTATAATACGCTATATTGTTCATAATAACTTTCTAAATTTATAAAAATAGGAGGTCTAGAATATTGAGCATAATAAAAGTTAAAAATTCGCGCCATACACTAAAGTAGTATAAAGATCAGGAAATTACAAAAATAAAATTCTGAAATAAAATCAAATATATATATAATGAGCATATATATTATAGATTATTTATTAATTATTATGAATTTATTCTAAAAGTATATAATATACATTGCATTTTATTAAATTTCTACAATAAACCATCAATAAATTTTTCCTAATGGAATTGACCAATGAGAACGTTTCATTCTTAAAGGCCGGTAAATTCGATATGAGAATATCGAAATCAGTATGAAATTTGATTGCAATTTAAAAACGTTTTGTAATAATAATAAAATCAATTAATGTTTTAATAAATTAGTTGTAAATATTACTTACCTATATTATGAAAATTTAAAAAAAAACGTAATATATAATTAAATCTATTGAAACTTAATAAAATTTCAAGCAATTCTTAAATTCAGAGGTAAAACAGCTAGACAAAAACTTACCTTAAACAATACATATGAAGTAGGACCACCTAGTTTTGACACTAGGCCGGTAAAATACATTGAGTAACAAAGTAATCTTATTTGTTAAAATTCTATAAGTTTAAAAAATTAGTGACGTCATCTAATGTAAATATATAACCAATACTCTATCGCTAAAACAGGGATGGGTAGCTCTGTGACCAAAACAATTTAAATTGTCGAATAAATTTTTAAGTTTCCCGCCAAGCAGGTTTGAATTCGCTAGTGGCGCCATCTATTGGTGTCAACCGCAACTAATTCCGTCGGTAAAACAAAATGGCGGCCAAGCCAATTTAAATTGTGAATTAAATTTTCAAATTTCCCGCCAAGCAGGTTTGAATTCGCTAGTGGCGCCATCTATTGGGTGGCTAGTTAACTAATTCGGTCGGTAAAACAGATTCCTACTTTACCAACTGGGTTTGAATTCGACCAGCTGCTGATAATGTAGAAATCTACCTTACCGACTGAGCAGTTACCGACTGTAGGTAACTTAGCCGAGATCAGAACCTGGGGTGGAACTCTCCTAGCTATACTACTACGGGGTCGGTGTTGTTTTCTGAAATTTGTTAACTTAATATAATAGAAGATGTTTCGTTTTAAATTAAGAAATGTTAAAATTATTAAGTTAAAAACATTTGATTTTAATGACACTTAAAATTAGACACAATATTATAGGTTACTACCTAAAAATTGAAAAAACAACAATAAAAAATAAAAAATAATAATAAAAAATTGAAAAAATCAAAAACTTCTTAAAAAATTGCAAAATAACCCTTTTTCGCGATAAAATTGCAAAATAACCCTTTTTCGGGTTAAAATTGAAAAATAACGCTTTTTCGGGTTAAAATTGAAAAAAGATGTTACATAAAAATAGTTTGTAAGATTTTCTAAAAGCATATATGCAAAGTATTTTGATTAATTTGAAAATAATTGAAAATAGATTTTTCAAGGACGGTGTCGAGGTCACGGGGTCGGTGTCGTTTTCTGAAATTTGTTAACTTAATATAATAGAAGATGTTTCGTTTTAAATTAAGAAATGTTAAAATTATTAAGTTAAAAACTTTTGATTTTAATGACACTTAAAATTAGACACAATATTATAGGTTACTACCTAAAAATTGAAAAAACAACAATAAAAAATAAAAAATAATAATAAAAAATTGAAAAAATCAAAAAATTCTTAAATAATTGCAAAATAACCCTTTTTCGGGTTAAAATTGAAAAAAGATGTTACATAAAAATAGTTTGTAAGATTTTCTAAAAGCATATATGCAAAGTATTTTGATTAATTTGAAAATAATTGAAAATAGATTTTTCAAGGACGGTGTCGAGGTCACGGGGTCGGTGTCGTTTTCTGAAATTTGTTAACTTAATATAATAGAAGATGTTTCGTTTTAAATTAAGAAATGTTAAAATTATTAAGTTAAAAACTTTTGATTTTAATGACACTTAAAATTAGACACAATATTATAGGTTACTACCTAAAAATTGAAAAAACAACAATAAAAAATAAAAAATAATAATAAAAAATTGAAAAAATCAAAAACTTCTTAAAAAATTGCAAAATAACCCTTTTTCGCGATAAAATTGCAAAATAACCCTTTTTCGCGATAAAATTGCAAAATAACCCTTTTTCGGGTTAAAATTGAAAAATAACGCTTTTTCGGGTTAAAACTGAAAAAAGAAGTTACATAAAAATAGTTTGTAAGATTTTCTAAAAGCATATATGCAAAGTATTTTGATTAATTTGAAAAAAATTGAAAATAGATTTTTCAAGGACGGTGTCGAGGTCACGGGGTCGGTGTCGTTTTTGAAATTTGTTAACTTAATATAAAAGAAGATGTTTCGTTTTAAATTAAGAAATGTTAAAATTATTAAGTTAAACACATTTGATTTTAATGACACTTAAAATTAGACACAATATTATAGGTTACTAACTAAAATTGAAAAAACAACAGTAAATAATAAAAAATAATAATAAAAAATTGAAAAAATCAAAAAATTCTTAAAAAAATGCAAAATAACCCTTTTTCGGGTTAAAATTGAAAAAAGATGTTACATAAAAATAGTTTGTAAGATTTTCTAAAAGCATATATGCAAAGTATTTTGATTAATTTGAAAATAATTGAAAATAGATTTTTCGAGGACGGTGTCGAGGTCACGGGGTCGGTGTTGTTTTCTGAAATTTGTTAACTTAATATAATAGAAGATGTTTCGTTTTAAATTAAGAAATGTTAAAATTATTAAGTTAAAAACATTTGATTTTAATGACACTTAAAATTAGACACAATATTATAGGTTACTACCTAAAAATTGAAAAAACAACAATAAAAAATAAAAAATAATAATAAAAAATTGAAAAAATCAAAAACTTCTTAAAAAATTGCAAAATAACCCTTTTTCGCGATAAAATTGCAAAATAACCCTTTTTCGGGTTAAAATTGAAAAATAACGCTTTTTCGGGTTAAAATTGAAAAAAGATGTTACATAAAAATAGTTTGTAAGATTTTCTAAAAGCATATATGCAAAGTATTTTGATTAATTTGAAAATAATTGAAAATAGATTTTTCAAGGACGGTGTCGAGGTCACGGGGTCGGTGTCGTTTTCTGAAATTTGTTAACTTAATATAATAGAAGATGTTTCGTTTTAAATTAAGAAATGTTAAAATTATTAAGTTAAAAACTTTTGATTTTAATGACACTTAAAATTAGACACAATATTATAGGTTACTACCTAAAAATTGAAAAAACAACAATAAAAAATAAAAAATAATAATAAAAAATTGAAAAAATCAAAAAATTCTTAAATAATTGCAAAATAACCCTTTTTCGGGTTAAAATTGAAAAAAGATGTTACATAAAAATAGTTTGTAAGATTTTCTAAAAGCATATATGCAAAGTATTTTGATTAATTTGAAAAAAATTGAAAATAGATTTTTCAAGGACGGTGTCGAGGTCACGGGGTCGTTGTCGTTTTCTGAAATTTGTTAACTTAATATAATAGAAGATGTTTCGTTTTAAATTAAGAAATGTTAAAATTATTAAGTTAAAAACATTTGATTTTAATGACACATAAAATTAGACACAATATTATAGGTTACTAACTAAAATTGAAAAAACAACAGTAAATAATAAAAAATTGAAAAAATCAAAAAATTCTTAAAAAATTGCAAAATAACCTTTTTTCGGGATAAAATTGCAAAATAACCCTTTTTCGGGTTAAAATTGAAAAATAACGCTTTTTCGGGTTAAAATTGAAAAAAGATGTTACATAAAAATAGTTTGTAAGATTTTCTAAAAGCATATATGCAAAGTATTTTGATTAATTTGGAAAAAATTGAAAATAGTTTTTTCAAGGACGGTGTCGAGGTCACGGGGTCGGTGTCGTTTTCCGAAATTTGTTAACTTAATATAATAGAAGATGTTTCGTTTTAAATTAAGAAATGTTAAAATTATTAAGTTAAAAACATTTGATTTTAATGACACTTAAAATTAGACACAATATTATAGGTTACTAACTAAAAATTGAAAAAACAACAGTAAATAATAAAAAATAATAATAAAAAATTGAAAAAATCAAAAAATTCTTAAAAAATTGCAAAATAACCCTTTTTCGGGTTAAAATTGAAAAAAGATGTTACATAAAAATAGATTGTAAGATTTTCTAAAAGCATATATGCAAAGTATTTTGATTAATTTGAAAATAATTGAAAATAGATTTTTCAAGGACGGTGTCGAGGTCACGGGGTCGGTGTCGTTTTCTGAAATTTGTTAACTTAATATAATAGAAGATGTTTCGTTTTAAATTAAGAAATGTTAAAATTATTAAGTTAAAAACATTTGATTTTAATGACACTTAAAATTAGACACAATATTATAGGTTACTACCTAAAAATTGAAAAAACAACAATAAAAAATAAAAAATAATAATAAAAAATTGAAAAAATCAAAAACTTCTTAAAAAATTGCAAAATAACCCTTTTTCGCGATAAAATTGCAAAATAACCCTTTTTCGGGTTAAAATTGAAAAATAACGCTTTTTCGGGTTAAAATTGAAAAAAGATGTTACATAAAAATAGTTTGTAAGATTTTCTAAAAGCATATATGCAAAGTATTTTGATTAATTTGAAAATAATTGAAAATAGATTTTTCAAGGACGGTGTCGAGGTCACGGGGTCGGTGTCGTTTTTCGAAATTTGTTAACTTAATATAAAAGAAGATGTTTCGTTTTAAATTAAGAAATGTTAAAATTATTAAGTTAAACACATTTGATTTTAATGACACTTAAAATTAGACACAATATTATAGGTTACTAACTAAAATTGAAAAAACAACAGTAAATAATAAAAAATAATAATAAAAAATTGAAAAAATCAAAAAATTCTTAAATAATTGCAAAATAACCCTTTTTCGGGTTAAAATTGAAAAAAGATGTTACATAAAAATAGTTTGTAAGATTTTCTAAAAGCATATATGCAAACTATTTTGATTAATTTGAAAAAAATTGAAAATAGATTTTTCAAGGACGGTGTCGAGGTCACGGGGTCGGTGTCGTTTTCCGAAATTTGTTAACTTAATATAATAGAAGATGTTTCGTTTTAAATTAAGAAATGTTAAAATTATTAAGTTAAAAACATTTGATTTTAATGTCACTTAAAATTAGACACAATATTATAGGTTACTACCTAAAAATTGAAAAAACAACAATAAAAAATAAAAAATAATAATAAAAAATTGAAAAAATCAAAAAATTCTTAAATAATTGCAAAATAACCCTTTTTCGGGTTAAAACTGAAAAAAGATGTTACATAAAAATAGTTTGTAAGATTTTCTAAAAGCATATATGCAAAGTATTTTGATTAATTTGAAAAAAATTGAAAATAGATTTTTCAAGGACGGTGTCGAGGTCACGGGGTCGGTGTCGTTTTTGAAATTTGTTAACTTAATATAAAAGAAGATGTTTCGTTTTAAATTAAGAAATGTTAAAATTATTAAGTTAAACACATTTGATTTTAATGACACTTAAAATTAGACACAATATT